TCTTCGCCTTAACGGAAAACGGTAGTTGGCACTCTTGAGATTCAGTTCAGGGAACATATTATCTCACGCTGCGGTATTCGTCCAAGTAACGAAATTTTCGTGCCAAAGCTGGCGCCTTGATGCCTAGTAACTTAATGGAATTGAAACCCTTCTTTAGCATGTGCTCTTACGATTTCCGCTTCGTTCGTAATTTTGCGACCTTTACAGAACTCCTTCGACAAGTAACAACAAAGGAATCATGGTTTATCTGGGGAAACGTTCAACAAAACGCAGTTGGCGAACTGAAGGGATGAATTTCCTACACCTCATTGTTTGCCATATTTAATGCATCATGTCATTTTTTGTTTCAACTAACATTTTCCATAACTGTCTCGGTGGTTTTCTCAACAAGACGATGAATATAAGGTTTGCTTATGTTTCGCGAAAATTATCAGATTTGGAGAAGAACAGAAGGAAACTCTTGCTTTCATATGGGTTTACGACAATTGACTTGTTTTCCTCTTCCTTGGGAGTTTCAGTCTACAAACTTGTCACTCCGCATTCACCATTTTCTTATTAATGAATCTATGGAATCCCGTCCGATGAGAACCAATCTATGCTTTACCAGACATGATGAGAGTACCGAACTGTGTGATTACCAGAATGGCAAAATGAGGTTGTCACTTTCCTTTGGAACCGAAAAGGCAACAATGATCGCTTATGGGACCGTGTGCCGCTTGTCGGTAAATATATAAATTAAATTTGTTTATTTATTTACTTTTGGTGTCGATTTAGTTACTCTTACGATATGTGAGTTACAGACTACGTATGCCCATGTTATGACTACAGTAGGGGGCATGACCGAAACACAACAAAGTCCAAGCTGAGTTCATTCCGTATTATACAGTTCCGAAGAAACTTTGGGTCTCAGGTGATTGTCTTACGTGAGGTACAGTATTTGTGACTCTTTCATTGCTGGTTGACAAAATAATCACTTACGTTCATGAGGTACACCCAGATATTGTTCGAATTAAAGTAAAGCCCGATACTACTTTTGGTGACTAGAATATCATCTGATGTTGGGCTTTTTGTGCAAAACTATCGCTTGCCCTTTGATGGATAAATGTTCCCTATCGCTCGCGGTACCCGAACAACCGGCATTATCCGATGAAACCGTGGGTCAAGGTTAACATTGATGTGAATGAACTTCTTATCATAGCTCAGGCGGTCCCTTGTTCTTGATGACTAAATGGGAATTTTCCAGTTACTGAAACAAAAATAACATACTTGTTGCAGTAGACGACCTAACTATGTGGGCTCCTGTGGTGCCACGCCGTGCTTGCGAAAAAGCGAGATCCGCCTAACTGTGTCTCATCTTGAGAAATTGATTTTGAGCCATAGAGAAACTTGCTTGCATAGGAGTAACCAGCTCAGAAATACAGACCAGCGTTATCTATCCTTGTGTGATACTTTGCTGATTGTGTGTCGAATCAAATTCATGAACTGTCACGACGTTCGCAAGAGATGACACGGTCTGCAACATTCAATTTCCAACGTACCATTTCGGTTGAACGACGAAAGAGCGCGTTTCCTGTTGATTGTGTAAAATTTGTTTATAATATGTCATCGTTATCCCTCAACCGACTGCAAACCGTGGTTTCATCCCTCGAGTTGGAGTTCGAGATACCACCCCGTCAGATTCGCATTGCATCCATTGACGCCAACTTTGTGAACCTCAACTGGCACTCTTGAATCCAACTTCTCATCCCCATTGATGCTTAACGAACAAATTGGTTGGCATATCGCATCACTTCTTCAGCGACGGAATACAACAGCAGATGTGTCACCGTACACAGCTTGATAAAGCAGTACTTGATCTTGGACACAACAGTGACATTGCTATATAAAAACCCGATAAAGTCTCCGGAGTGATCATTATAAGTAGGCTAGATAATTTGGAGACAAAATTGTCCGACTGCACAAAGTTCAAGCCGGATTCATCTCCCGGGACGAATGTTGGGTGCTAAAACCTGTGTTCATCAATATGATTGGAGAAAAAGCTTGTGACATCATAAGGTCGGCGACTGTATATTTTAATGGTATGTTGACCTATTGCTAATCGTGGATTCTCATGTGGACATCGCGCATGTGACTAAGATGCTCAACACCATGCAACTGGATCGCACAGTGGCGCGTGAAATTGGGCAGGACAATTGCCTTCCGTAACTAAATCTTCTGATTACACAGTGGCCTGACGGTTCCATAAGAATGTGTGTCTACAGAAAGCCAATTTAGACTGGTTGTTCTATGCATTTTACGAGTTTCTCCCCTGTTCGTTACAAACGCTCTCCTCAGGACACTTTTATCGGGCCAATATTCTCTGCACTCCAGACACCATAGAAGCAGAGAAAGATATGATTTACGATACGCTGCAATCCAATGGTTATCCGTTGCCCCAGTGAAATTCCAAGCGAGATCTTGAGCCAACAGTCTTATAGAAGCCAATATTCTATGAGCTGCCTTTCGTCGGTCTTATTATCAAGGTCATCGAGAAACGTGATTCGCTTTAAAAATGTCGACGATTCGACAGAGATGCGGCTGCTCACGTGGACAAAACCTATACTTATATGTTCGATCATGACACTTATTATCTTTACGAATTCATTTGTAGCTGTAAAGACAGCCAACTTGGGCGCACTAATCGAAGTTTAGGTCCAGAATCAATGGACGCATCCTCAAGTGGTTGTGCAGCCGGATGGGATCTGTGACCATGGAATCGGTTGGATCGGGAAACCCAGCTGCCTCAGCAGTCACAAGGTACTTGCTGATCACCGGCCACCTAGTCAATCCGAACGAGTCGTTCACGGTATTAATGCGCGATCAGTGAACCCACATGCTTAAGCTACTATAAGACATTGATATCAGTCGCGAACGCCAATCGCCGTACGTTCAAAAATACCTGACTATGTCTCTACGCCTACCATTTTAGTGCAAACGCTTGGTCATGTACGATCTCTTATGGCACTGTTTTTTTGATTATCTGTCTATGTGCTTGTCCTTGACCAATAAGAATGCACGAGAGGACGAGGTCATCTTCTTATTTTCTTGTTTGGATAGTATGATGCATTCCTTTTTTACACACTATAACTCTACGATTAATGGCAGGGTAGAATAGTTCAGTCTGTCTCAAGGAGGTAGTACGAGCTATGCAGTTTGGAGGGGCATTGTGGGAGAATGCAGCCTTGAATGTGCTGTTTTGTAAACACGTAATCGCAGGAAAGTCGCCTGTGGAACTGTGGCCTTTACCTAACAAACTGAACGCTGTCATCAATGCGTCCTTTCCTGCAAGTTCTTCCTCATCATCGTCAGTACACCTTAGCCGAGGGTGAGAAACATACCTCAGCTCATGTGCCTCAATACAAAAGGGATAAAAGATAAAGCAGTGCAGACTTAAAAACTAAAACTTCCTAAGCTCTAATCGCTTCGGTACTTATCACAATCCTACGTTACTCCCTCGATTCCACTACAACCGGCTCCAACACTCTCCGCGCTTCTGCTAATCACACAGCCATGTGGCCCCGGAACGTATCGACTGGAATGTGGACTGAATGTCGACGTTTGTCAGCTGCATATGACAACATGACTGGCCTCTCAATCGCACCAAAATGTATTGCAAGCTGAACCGAGCCGCAACTGCATGCAGATCGGAGTTCGTTGATTCGCACCAATATGTGTGTGTGTGTGTGTGTGTGTCAAGTAGCACCAGGATGAGAGCGATGACTGTGACCTGAGCCGGACTTGTACAAAAGTCTTATCTACTTTTCTTCTCTGATTGGCTAGAGTGCACCCGCTACCTTTTGGTCGTTTGCGCTCACATAATCGTGGAACTTAGCTGTACTTCCTTTTGTACCTGATGCATTGTGATAAACGTTTGTTTACGTCTTCGTTGTTCTTGGTATAACACACTACATATCTGTATTCGTCCTGGCCAGTAGGCATGCCAGCTCTGAAGCATTTTGACTCCAACCCACCCGTCGTCTTGGGTTCACACTGAACACAACGATAGTATATTTATGTTGTGCATCTTGAAGTTTCAGGGTTTCTTTGACTATTATCAGTTACAACGACGAGCAACCTTGCGCTAACCTCACACCAAATGCGACATCGTTGATCGTCTTTCTTGACAGGCACGATGCAGTCATTTCACTGATGCCTAAGCAAGATAAACTTCGGATTACGGTTCTTTGGATCGAAACTGTGGCCTTCATTGTGCTTCCATGCCGTAATCCAAACCAGGCAGGAAATTCTGACCAAAATTGAACATTTAGCCATTATAGCAGGACTTGCTCGTGCAGTTCGATAGCCTAGGGCTAGCGCTAGTCTCGAACCAATACGTCTTGAGCTCTATTCCCAGCTCTGATTATCTCTACTTGTATTTGAAGCGCGCTGTCTGATCCGATTCATGTCTCATGTGTGGTTTCACTTGGATCCGTTCTGGGACCGCTCTTGTTTTTTGTGTTCAATAATGAGCTTACGCATTTGATCTCTTCATATATATATATATATATATATATATATATATATATATATATATATATAGCCTCGGGAACCAAGGTAGAATATTAAACACAGGATTAGAGTAAAAGAAAAAAGAAATTTTTGTTCATTTTCCCACTTGCAGTTTTTGAGCTTCTTGATGTTTTTTCTCGTAACTGGGAAGTGGAATCATTGCAACAAGCAGACACACGACCGCCACTGAGTTCGGTTTTGAGCCATGATTTCCAAGGTTTTCACTTAGCTGCACTCAGCATCTTTAGGACCCCATCCAGAAAGTCGAGAAGAACCAACTTTGGCCAGCTGTTTTGTCAGCTTTTTCATCCTGTTTCCATGCCCCACTCGCAGAATGCCGTCCCTGAGGCTAACCGTCTCCTGGTATAACCTTTATTGATTTCAGAGCTTTAAAGTTTGTTGTAAGGTCGGAGCTACCATTTCCGTTATTCTCCCCTGTATCATTCCCTCAGGTTTCTCAATACTTCGTCGAGGCCCCCGGATCACACTGTGCCCCGTTGGAACCCGGCTGCTTTCGCACACCGTGGACCATAACAACATCTACAACCAACTTTGATATCACCAGATGCGCTGACTCGAATCCCGGTCCTAGAATAATCGAATAGTCATTGCGTTCGGTTCGAGCCCTCTTTTCCGGATTTTTCGTCCGTCTCGCGATGCTCTATTTCGCCTCTACCTGTTCTGAACCTGTTTTGGTTGTTCTTTTGCGCCACAAGGCACCAAAACCTGAAATGATCCCCTCCATATCAGCGCTACATTTTATTATGTACTGACACAACTATCGTTTTATCTCCGGATGCTACGTTTGCTTTCGTTTCTTTTATGTGTGTCACCTGATGAAAACTTTCTTCGGCTGTCCTAAGCTCTTTGTAACCCACCGGTGCTGAATATAGTCGCAACAATAGTTTTACTCTAGATTGTCAGAGTTAAACTGGCTACCTTTCGTCACGTCTACCCTAGCTTGAGTAAAAGTCTCTTCACTACTTCAGCCAATATCCTGATCGTTAAAGCTACTGTATACTCTCTTCTTTGCTGGTGTTGTACTCCTCTTTCCTGTTGCTGACTAAAGCATCTGGTTTGCAGTTTTCACTGGACGCAATACACAAGTTGTTATAACTGCCTCTTGGTTACGTCACTCTCTGACGACCTGGTTGGCCGAACGAATGTGGCTTGGAACTGTTTCACACACGACAAAGTAACCGACTAAATTTCAAGTTGCACGATCCGTGAGACTTAGGCGCAACGCAGTTACTACGCACCCACTGAACGGGCTCCTAGGCCGAAAGCAATTTCACACGCAGCTACCCAAACCCCAGAGAACGAGACAAAAAGACAGGCCTTTCGCATAGACACTTTTACCGGCCAGGCGCAAGGCGATTACAGCACAGTCCAGCGTTTCTTTTATACCTCGATGGCACCAATGATTTGCATAAGCAACTACATTGGTACTATTCCAATATGCCAACGGAACATGTTGAAAAGTGAATGTTGCTAGATGTGGAGGCTGGACTGGAAAACTGAATATTTCTTAGGTAAAGAAAACTGAGTGTTTTATGATTGAAGGGAGGTTGGCCGGAAATAGGAATGTTTTCTGATGAACAAAGGCCACTCGAAACGTGAAAGTCTCACGAGTTGGAAAGGTGATCGAAACATGTGCACTTGTCTGAATGGAGTTTCATTTCTTTCTGTGGTTTAAGCTTATGATCCTTATGGGGACATTGGGTCCCCATAACACTAGTGCTTGCTGTTTCTTTTCTTCTTTTTACAAGTGCTGCACAGTTTCTCTCTCAGCACTTCTATCATTCTCACGGACACATTATTCTGTATTTTTTCTGTTGCCATACAATGTAAGCTTTAGGTGCCCGAGGGTGCATTTTCTACGTTTTACACTAGCTCCTGTGGATGTTCTAAAATAGCCACTAAAAGCCTAAAATTGCACTACTGTAAAAATGACACTCGAATAAACGGTCACGAATCTGCACCTTGTTGGCGGAATTGTATCGGGTCCATTTTGTCGATCCGGCGTATATTCCTCAAGTTACTTAACCCATGATAATATCGCGCATCATCTCAAAGTCAATTTTCAAAAATCGGCGGGTTACAACATTCGTGACTTTGTAAGAAGTCTACCAGAATAAAATGTCAAAAGTAATCAAAACTGTTAAATCCGCTGCGGATTAAGTAAGAGCGATGTTACAGAGAAATTGCAACGGCCGATTTTAAGGCCTAGCTCTCACTGATGCGATATGGTGTAAACCGATTTCAATTGCTCCCCAGTCACAATACATTTGATGCTTTCTCAGCCGGAGATGTCATTCTGTTTTAGTAAATCCCTACACGATGTATAGGTTTTGTGTCGGTCCTGATTCACTGAATGGCATGGCCTTCGAGTTCGGCCGTTGCTGTTCTCGTCGAGTTATTTTACACCACAGACTGCGGATTCCATATTTTATTTTAAACTTTGAAGCATTTTGCTTTTTCTGATCAGGTCTGAAGATCAATGTTGTCCTGCTCCGTCAACCATTTGAAAACTTTACGTGTTATTGCCTTAAATCCGTGCCTTATCGAATACGGCTATAAAGTCAAACGCACTAGGAATAAATGTCTTGGAAAAAAGTGAAAGCATCGTGCTGGCTGGCAATCTGGCCTCATTCGTTGTTCTGTCGACAAAGCGCAAGTCCCACTGATACTTTCCAGTAAGGTTCGCTTGCTCCTTGATAAAATCAGTGATCTCAATGGCATTATGCAGCGAAATAAGTATGTTAATACAGGAATCATTATGTTACAAGAAAGCAGGTTGCCTGCTTATGTGGAGAATGTAGTAATTCAACTCGATGGTTATTTTTCCATCAGGTCTGATCGTCCCGGCAAGCCCCAGTCCCCTGGTGCTGGCGTTATAACTTACGTTACTCAACGTTGGTGCAATGTAGCAATCATAATATTTACATACTCAACGATTTATATTAGCTGCCATTTAGCTGAGTGCAAACCGAAGTTCCTAACTGGCTTTTGAGCAGTCATCGTTGGAAAAGTATACATTACTTGTGACGCATCTCAATCGGAGTTAAAGCTTTTTGAAGATTAACTTTCTTCAACGCTACTGCTTAAGTTGGATTGTTCTATCTGTATTGTTGCTGGTGACTTCAATAGAAAGGATACAATATCCTTGAAGATACTTGGCTTGGTAGACCTAAGGACTGTTTCGATCAAACAAGATGCCCAGTTGGACGCTGTGTTCACAAATAAACGACAGTTGTTTGCCATACGAAAGCGGGCTCCTTTGAGCAGCTCAGACCATTGTATTTTAAAACTGTGTCCAGTCATATACAGCAGGTTTACTTTTTTTAACGCTGACCAGACGTCCTTACAAGATTATCAAACGGCGAAATTGCTCCTTGGAAAATATCACGAGGCTCCAGACGATGTTTTCGTTAACTGATTTTTCGGTCTTCAGCGACAAGGACCTGTCGCTCGAATGTGACCATCTTACGGACTACATCAAATATTGATTTGTTGCCCTGTTGAAACGATCTAACTAAGGGAAGATAGATTTTCATCACCACTACTAAAGCGACTTCGAAGAATGGAAGAATAGGCCTCCAAGTGCAAGAATGCTACTCGTGTCAAAAGCCAAACCACAGCAATTAAATCCGAGATAAAAGGACAACTGGATATACGTCGAAGCAGTTCTAGGCAACCATAACTGTCGCAATCTATGGAGGCTTCTGAGGACGCTTTGTGGTAAGAGCGTTTTCAGCCAGTAAAGTGAAGTGGGTGTGGATAAACTGAATTCGGTTTAGTTCCGCCTCACTACGCTCATCTTCCTTGCCCTCCTTCATTCGCTCAAGTCCAGCTGCGCTCTTCGATTAAATCAACGTCAACAAGGAACTCAAAAGATTAAAGTCAACCAAAGCTTATGGTCCGGATGCTCTCTGACCATAAGCTTTGAAGGAGTGTGCTTATTCTCTCACACTGATTCTAACAGACGTCTTTAACAAATGCCTCAATACAGGTGTGATCCCGGACGTTTGGAGAACAGCCAGTATCACTCCAGTACGAAAAGCTGAATCTCAAAAGCATCGCCCAAATGCTGTACCTCTCTATTACTAAAAGTTTTCGAAAGTGTTATTTCCGCGGGTTTTTTCAGCCGCTGCTGAAGATGATATCTGCCAGTTTGCGTATAGACCCCAGCGCTCCACATTGGATGCATTGGCATGTCTTGTTCATTCTATATATAGCTTCTGCATTAAATCAAAAATGTCAATCCGTACGGCTTGTCTTTCTGGATCATTCGAATGCCTTGGGAAACCTGCATAGGTCAAGATTGCTAAACCTGCTATCCGAAAATGGAGTTTGTAGCGCCCAAAGATAACTCTTATCTTTCGTGTACAATTTACTTGTTGACCGATTGTACATTACTCCTTCTTGTTTTAATCTTACAACCGGCTCGACACACAACTGCCTTGTAAGTCCCGCGCTCACGTGTACGCTCTTGCCTCGCTTCATCCGTCCGTTTCTTGTTGTAGCCCATCGAATACAGTCCGCTGTGTCCGACTCCAATTGCCTTCTGATATCCGCGCTTAATTCCGCGCATCGTCTCGAACTAGTATTAACTAGTCCTATAAATTGGTGACCCCGATTCGCACGCGCGAATTCAATTTTTTTTCTCGTTTGTATTTTTGGTGAGTTCGTTCCTTTTTCTCGATTATATACCTATATTCATTTGTTTCTTGCGTAATTTTGGTACTTTTATCGTATTTTGTTCGTTCTTTATCTTTCGACTCACATTTCGAAAGTTGCATCTGAGTCGTTTCACAGCGTAACCATGCTTCCTTTGGCTGTTCCAAGTTTCATGTAACACAGTCCAGAAGTTTGGTTTAAGATATTCGAGATCGAACTAGAAAATAAGGGCATAACGGCGGACCGTCCAAGGTACAATCAGCTCGTCCCACGCCTTCCTCCGTCGGTAGTGACGCTGATTGAGGACATTCTACTCTGCCCATCGAATGAGGCAAAGTATGAAACGATGAAGCAAGCGATTTTGAAAGAGTTACGACCCAGCGCACGAACACGATTTGAGCAGCTCAATGGTCTCAAGCTTGGAGATCGCAAGCCGTCGGCATTGCTCCGCGAACTTCAGCGCATCGCTGGTCCCTTATTCTTGAGCGAAGAAGGGATAAAGGAGCTGTGGTTTGCACGTCTCCCAGAGCCATTGCCGATAATGCTGTCCATGTTTATAGATGCACCCTTGAAAGACTTAGCTACCAAGGCAGACGCTGCGTTCGAACGTTTTCAGCAGCGGACGACCAGTAACTCCGGTGACGTATTCTCACCGATGAAAACGGAATCCCATGTTTGTTCCCAGTCGCTAGACCGATCTGACTCTAAAGACGAGGAAATTGCGCTACTTCGCAGCAGGATAGCAGCAATGAAGGCTTCGAAGCAGCGTGTGCCACGGTGAGATGCTGACCACGTTTTGGCTACCGTTCATTGCGGCTCGTCTGTGCCTGCACCGAGTACGTCTCGTTCGGCACGAAAGCGCCACATTTTCCTTACAAGTTCTCAGTCAGATAATGTCAAGCCCGTCGAAGAAGTATGTTGGTAT